ATATAACCGATCCAAGCTAAGCAGTGAGTTGTTCGAATTTGATTTAAAATTTTAATGAATTCTAAAATATATTCGAATTGTCCTAATGATTTTGGAATTTTGAGAACTAGACTAAACTATTGACACCTATAGAATTGGACAAAAGCCAAAACTTAAAAAAAAAAAAATAAATAGATTCAGTTTGGGTATGATTTGGTTCACTGTTCTAACTATTTCCATTTACAAGAATAGTGTGAAGTGATGGGAGAGAAGGCTAGTGAAATTTTAATTGAGATTATTTTTATCATACATATATTTTTATATATTTTAAATTTGGTCTTTTAATGAAGGAAAGCTTTGTTACAGTACATGCAGTGATATATTGTTCACAGTTTATATAAGAGTGACCAGATATCCTACCAGACGACTAACTGCTTCACACACATACACACACACACACACACATATATATATATATATATATATTTGAGGAATGTGAAATTGTGCCTATTGTTGGTAAAAATACCAAAAGAATTATATTTTATTAATGAATTTTTTGGTGTAATTTGTAAGGTCCTAGTGGCCTATAAATTGTTCCTCTTATCTACTCTTTTCTACACCAACTGTTTTTCTATACTCGAGAGATTACTAGCCAAAGAATGATGTTTTTTCTTTGTGGAGCTTTCGGTTCACCATCTTATACAGAATTGGCCTGAACCATATGACAAGTGGTCGGGGTGTTGTATCCAGGGCCGGCCCTGAGATTTAGGGGGCCCAAGGCGACCTTCGGAAATTGGGCTTTTCTTACATTAAAAAAAAAAATTGATGGATAAAGTGATAAGTTACAACAACTTTTTTATTTATTTGTAGTCACAAAAAAATTTACTTACAACAACTTCTTCATCAATCAAACATGAACTTTCTATTTGTTTCTTGCTACCAAAAAATTTATCAAGCGCTCCCGATTGAGATTGAATAAAATTTTCTAATTTTTGCTTCTTTTTCCTTTTTTCACATCCAAAAATATACTTCCTAGGAGGCATGACTACTCTATATAATCACAAATCAACAAATTTTCTAATTTTCTAATTTTCAGAAAATTTCTGGAAGTATAAACATTAGAAATTTTTAAATGTTTATACTTCCAGAAATTTTCTAATATACTTCTAGAACTTTTCTAATGTTTATTTTCTTTCGATGACCCACGTTCTTAGCCTCAGTGGGTATTATAAAATATAATGTGTTTCTTGTTTTTGGGCCCATGTCAGTTAAGCCTCTAATATGTCATGATATATTTTGTTTTTTTTAGGCCCCATATACAATTGGGCTTATAGTATTTGGATTTTTTTTTTATATCTAAAACATAAAATCATATTTTGGGGCCCTATTTTCAACCCAAATCTAGGGGCCCAAGGCGCAGGCCTCTTCGGCCTACCCTCAGGGCCGGGCCTAGTTGTATCTTAGAGGGGACAAATCATAGTTTAGTGATTGTTACATCGGTATTTGGGTTCTTCCTACCGCAGTGGACTTAATATCCTTAAAGATATTAAAATGGCCCAACAATCCCCCACTCATTTTAATATCAATAAGGAAAAGAAAGATTACCAAACAAAGATAGACTGATATGCATCATGAAAGTGTGCTATGCATTGAACCTTCATTAGTAAAACAGCAACCTCTACTCTAGAGTCAGTAGTGGTCTCAGACTTAAACTATGACTACTTAGGGGAAATAAAGTATTACTATTCACACATAATAATACAGGTGTTGACATGAGCTTTTAATAGCCAACACTTTATGGCCTTGTGCCTGTCCTAGTTTTCATGAACATATTTGAGAATAAGTCTTGTTCTTATAGAAAGCAACCCCACTTTCATGCTCACAGAGGTAAAATCTGTCAAGGATGTTCTTATAATTTACACACCCCACTCAACAAGAACTATAGAATTTCATTAAGGGTGCGTTTGTTTGGACGGACTGAATAAGGGAGGATTGTAATCCATCGGACTATTAGTCCTGACATACATTGTCTCGGGACTATTTGGTTGGACTAAATTTGTATCCTATATTTGTTTAGTCATGAGATTAGATGTCTTGATTGGATTATTTTTAGTTATCCAATGTTTGTTTGGGATATTATAGAGAATGATAAATGCTCAAATGACTATTTTATCCTTTTCAATTATTTACTAAGTAATAACAATATTAAACATAGCTTTAATAATTTAATTATTTTTAGCTAGATTAAATAAAAATTTATTTTATTTTATTTTTTGCACAATATTTTAATTATTTTAATTTATTATTTTCAATTAAATTAAATTTATAATTTATAATTTATATTTTTTATTTAACATATAATTTTAAATTAACGACAATAAAAAATAATTTTATTTAATTTATAAATTTAATTTTTTAACAACACTAAAAAAATCTAATTTATAAGGCCATAATTTTTAATTTATTATTTTTAAGTAAATTAAATTTATAATTTATATTTTTTATTTAATATATAATTTTAAATTAACAACTCTAAAAAAATAATTTTATTTAATATATAAATTTAATTTTTTAACAATACTAAAAAAATTTAATTTATATGAATTTATTATTTTTAATTAAATTTAATTTATAATTTAAATTTTTTATTTAATATATAATTTTAAATTAACAACAATAAAAAAATAATTTATAAATGTTCAAAAGACTATTTTATCATTTTTTAATTATTTGCTAAGTAATAGCATAGTGGGTAAAATGGACATTTCACAAAATAATCCCATGGGATACCAATCTCATAGTTTCTATCCCACCCCCTCCATGGGATATGATAGTCCCATATTTGTGGGACTAATAGTTCGAGGGGACTATTAGTTCAGAGCAAAAAAAATGAAACAAACAATGGACTATTAGTCCGGTGGGACTAATAGTCCAATCCCACCCCCTAATCCTTCAAAACAAATACACTCTAAGGCCATGTTTGTTTGGGCGGACTAGATTAGCATTCTCATGACTAATAGTCCTAAGACTACGAATCCGTTGGATTATGTATCCTATCTTAACTAATAGTCAAGTTTAAAATAATTAGTCCGTACTTCAATTGTTTAATCAAACATCGGATTAATAATTTTATTGGACTATTAGTCCAATCCCAAGCTCATGTCCACCCAAACAAACATGGCCTAAGAGTATAAAAACTTTACCCTCCAACATTACAAGACAAATGCACTTACATCATAGGAATGGATAACAAAATATTAAGGAGTGCATTTTTTTCCAACCACCATATGATTCGTTCTTCTCATTGAACCTAGTTATATGATCTTTAGTCCCCAGGTTGGGTATCCTCATACATGGTTTATGATTTTATAGGCTTTAAACCCATCCCCCTCAATGTATTCCAGACCCTATCTCTCGCCAAGGCCTTGGTTAACGGATCCGCAAGATTATCACAAGATTTTACATAATTCACAATTATAATGCTATTACTCAAATAGGATCTTACATTATTGTGTTTCCTTCGAATAGGTCTAGATTTACCATTATAAAAATGGTTGTTCACTCTACCAATAGCAGCAGTGCTATCACAATGAATTAACACAGAAAGAATTGGTTTTTCCCAAAAAGGGATTTCATGTAACAAATCTCTCAACCAATTCACTTCCTCACATGCTGAAGCTAACGCTATAAGCTCAGCTTCCATTGTAGAATTAACAATTATAGTCTATTTTTTAGACTTCCAACATGTAGCACCACCACCTAAGGTAAAAATAAAACCCGAGGTAGAGAGAGAATCACCTGACAAAGTGTTCCAATCGGCATCACTATATCCTTCAAGTACCGCAGGATACTTATTATAAAACAAACCATAATTTTTGGTACCAGATAAATATCTCATAATTCTTTCCATTGCTAGCCAATAATCTCGACTTGGTTTGCTAGCAAATCTACTAAGTACTCCAACAGCATATGCAATGTCAGGTCTAATACAATCAGTAACATATCTTAAACTACCAATCATGTTAGCATATTCCTTTTGATTAATCACTTCTTTTTCATTTGTTATAACAGATAAATGTATGCTTGCATAAAAAGAAGTAGCAATATATTTACAGTCTAGAAAGTTATATTTCTTTTAAAAAAATTCAACATAATGTGACTGATCAAGAAAAATGACATCATTAGTCTTGGTAATTTTAATTCCCAAAATAAAATTGGCTTCACCAAGATCTTTTACATCAAAGTGACTATTAAGCATATTTTTAGTCTCATTTATAATATGCAAATTAGAGCCAAAGATAAGTAGATCATCCACATATAGGCTAATAATCACATGTGCATTCTCACAAGTTTTATAATATATGCACTTATCACATTCATTAGTCTTATAGCCATTCTTAAGCATGCAAGAATCAAATTTCTCATGTCACTGTTTAAGAACTTGTTTTAAACCATAAAGAGATTTAGTTAGCTTACACACCTTGCTTTCTTGGCTAGGCTCCACAAAGCCCTTGAGTTGGTGCATGTAAATCTCCTTATCTAGATCTTCATTTAAAAATGTTATTTTCACATCTATTTGATGAATTTTTAAATCATGAATTGCAGCCACTACTATCCATAGTCTAATGGATGTAACTCTAATAACCGAAGAAAAAATATCAAAGAAATCAAGATCAACTTGTTGCTTAAAACCTTTAGCACAAACCTCACTTTATATTTATCTATAGTTCCATCTGGTTTAAGTTTTTTTCAACACTTTCATGAGGCCTCTTGGTAATTTTTTCTTTACTACAAACTTCATATTTCTCAAATTTTTTTGTCACTTTAGGAATTAATCCTAAACTACTCATGATACCCACATATTTACTGTTAATATAACACAAGCAAGCATGCCAAAAATTAATAGAAGACAACATATAAACCGAATTGGTAGATGGTTTATTAATCTCAACATTCAGTTTGAACATCCTATCACAAGCATAACCCTTATCCACAGAAATACCCTTCTTGATAATCACATATTAATCAGATTCCATAGTTTGCTTAAAGCCAATCTTATTCAACAAATAACTTGACATCAAATTCTTCCTCATGGATGGTGTATAAAGCACATCTTTTAAAGTAAGCACACGTCCAGAGGTGAACTTAAGGTCAACCTCACCACTCTCAAGTATCTTAGTTTGACTAGAGTCACCAAGCATAATTGTTTTCTCATCATCAAAGGGAGTATACACCTTGAGCCAAGCTTTATCATAACAAACATGTCTATTAGCAACAAAATCTACCCCCCAACCATCCACATAATTAACCATGCAAATGTCTGTAATCATCGCTACAAATGGCTCCTCGACAACGTTAGCCTTTGGGGCAAATACACGTTTTCGAAATTTACAAGTTTGAGCAATATGCCCACTTTTGTCAAAAACAAAGCATGTAAAATTTTTGTAGAGGTGGTGGACCTTGGTTCTTATTTGGATCAATCCATTTATTGTGAGGTTTACCATAATTCTTCATATTCTTTTTATAAGGCTTCAAATAAGCATTCTTGGAATTGTGACATTTGGGTAAGTTATTATTTACTGAAACAAAGTTTACCTTTGTAGTAGAATTGTCATTACCCTCTTGTGTTATTAATGCATCTTGGCCTCTAGCCTCCTCTTCGACTCGAATGCGAGTGACCAACGCCTCTAAGGAAGTCTCCTTTTGTTTGTGGCGCATGCTTTTTTGGAATTCTCTCCAAGATGGCGGTAACTTGTTAACAAGTCCTGTAACTATCAAGTTGTCACCAATCTTGATGCTTTCAGAACTTATTTTTGCAACTACCATTTGGAAATCTTGTGCTTGCTCGGCAACAGATTTTCCATCCTCTATTTGGAAGCGAAAAAATCGGCTAGCTGTATACTTTTTTACTTTTGCCTCTTCAATATCATACTTAGTGTGTAAAGCTTTCCAAATTTTCTTTGCGGAAGTATAAGTGGTGTCATAGTAAACATAAAATTGATCAGTAAGGCAATTTAAGAAATAAAAATGACATTTATACTCATATGTATTGTATGAAGCCACTTTTGCTTCATGTGCCTCGTAGTCTTCATCATTCATCTCATCGGTTGAGATTTTATTTGGGTTCTTCTTGGTAAGAACATATGCAACTTTCAAAAGGCTAAGGTAAAAAAGAATTTTTCCTTTCCACCTCTTAAAACGAACTCTCTTAAACCTGAAAGGCTTGTTCAGATCTCAAATTCTGTCATTGATTCTTTGCTTAACTATGGACTGTAACAGCAATCTTGAATTACTCGATAAATCAAACACTTGATTTTTGGGTGCTAGGTATATTAAATATTTCTACCCGTCTTTGCTTATCTATTGACTATAATAGCAGCCTTCAATTACTTGATAAATCAAACACATTATTTTTTCAGCTCAAACGAGGATTATAACAATCCAATGCACCGAATAATTGCCCTAGTATATTTTTTTAATGCTTCTAGCATAATTCATCAGTAAGAGTATGTATTCCCAACTAAGAACATTGTCACAATACACAGAAATCCACATGATTGGAATTTGGATTACTATGCCCTTGCATGCACATATTAGAGGTCCTTCAGTTGAAGAGGAGGTAGCAAGACATGGATTTCCTCAATCAAATTGTGCCAAAGCCTGAGATAGACAGTGGCTACTGAACTCTTGACCAAATTGGATCAGACAAACCCAAATCTGTAAATGACTGCCTTTATTATTCACCACCCGTGATTAATTGCTGTTTATCACTACTTACATTTCCTGCCCATTTCTTAACAAATTTTTAACTAAAAGAATGAATTATCCCTTGCTAAAGCATATTACCATATTATAATTCTTAGGGTCAGATTAGGATGTTCTTTAACACAATCAAAACCACTTTCACTTTTCAATATTAACAACAAAACCAAACCATGTCGGATGATGGTAGTGAGGGAAGTTAAAGACCACGGTTAATGTCATAGTTGTGTTGTACAACAACAAACAGCACAGTCAAACAGGCAGTTGATTTCCAGTTCAGTATGAAGTTACAGCATTCTATAAAAACTTCATACAGAAAATTACAGCTTATACAAATTACATATATCTATGATTACACTTGTTTTGATCAACTTAAACCAAAAACGACACAATTTCTGCATTTAGTATGCTAATTCGCTCTCCTATTTTGTACAATTTGGCTGAGAAAGCAGTTTAAGAGATAAGACACAAAGCAGCACTGCCAAAACTGATCTTAATTTTGGCTCAAAGATAATTCCTTGAATTCATATGACCAGTGTAATCAACAAACCAAACAATCAAAATGAAACAGATTTATAGAAAATGGAACCATCAACACAATTGTGATAAGATAAATAAGAGAAACACTTGATATCCCATAAACCAAGACCATCAGCCTCAATCTTTTACTAGAAATAATGCAATTTGCTCAAACCCTGAACTGAAGTTATAATTTGTAAGTTCTACTGCTCTAGTATAATAAAGAATACTTTTAGCCAAAAAGTTTTTTTAAAAAAAACACCAAAAAACAGTATCATCTTAACTTTTTTACGCCTTATAATAAAATGCCAAAAAAAAATACTAAAAAGTCCATTCTCAAAACAACCCTTAATTCAACCCAGCAAAGATATTAACTTGAGTCAGTACTACTACTATTTAAATCCAAAAACAAGAGCTAGCAAATCAGGGCGGAATCAAATATGCACGTCAACAATCACAAACCCAAAATGGTTATCTGATTCAACTCCATTATACAAACAAAAAAATTAATATTTAAAAAAAAAAAATAGACAACTGACACAACCATCATCATTATCATCAACTCAATCAAAGGGGAAAAAAAAAAAAACTAGTCTTAAAACAGGACGAACACACACACACACACATATATATATACATCAAACCCTCTCACGCTACACAGAAACGAAAATTCTCAAAAGAAACCATTGATCAACCAAAAATGCAAATCAGAATGAGAAAACATATAATGATCATACAATCGACGAACAAATTAAACAAGAACACAATCGAATAAAAAGGCACATACGAAAATTATATGAAAAAACATGAAATTTCACAGTAACAGTTAATGAAAGGATGATCGGTGACGATGTTGAAGATTTCTACTGAAAAATCATACCTTTGCAGAGGCCGATTACTCGTAAACGATCAACTCGATATACGGAGAGAGGCATCTGTATATCTTCCCGAGAGAGAGAGAGAGAGAGAATATAAAGCGGTTGGGTTGGGCTGGGTTGGGTTGGGTGCTTTGCCTGGTTTTCTGCAAAAACTAGTATTAAATAAATAAAGACGATGTCCACCGTTAATCCAAAATTATTATGTTAGGTATAATTCATATTCATAAATATTTATATTACGTATAAAGTGAACATTTCTGATGATGTCTTCAAACCTTAATTTCTTATCTGGTCACATATCTATTTTTTTATTTAAAACAAAATGAAAAATTAGATAGATAAAAGGTGAGAATTTCAACTTATGTCAAATGAATAAAATTCTTGTCACTTGACTAGCATATAATATATCGTGCATGCGTGCATTGCTTTACTTACATGTGTTCAATTTCAAGTTCTTACACACATTGCGTGCATGCGTGCATTGCTTTACTTACATGTGTTCAATTTCAAGTTCTTACACACATTGCGTGCATGCGTGCATTGCTTTACTTACATGTGTTCAATTTCAAGTTCTTACACACATTGCGTGCATGCGTGCATTGCTTTACTTACATGTGTTCAATTTCAAGTTCTTACACACATTGCGTGCATGCGTGCATTGCTTTACTTACATGTGTTCAATTTCAAGTTCTTACACACATTGCGTGCATGCGTGCATTGCTTTACTTACATGTGTTCAATTTCAAGTTCTTACACACATTGCGTGCATGCGTGCATTGCTTTACTTACATGTGTTCAATTTCAAGTTCTTACACACATTGCGTGCATGCGTGCATTGCTTTACTTACATGTGTTCAATTTCAAGTTCTTACACACATTGCGTGCATGCGTGCATTGCTTTACTTACATGTGTTCAATTTCAAGTTCTTACACACATTGCGTGCATGCGTGCATTGCTTTACTTACATGTGTTCAATTTCAAGTTCTTACACACATTGCGTGCATGCGTGCATTGCTTTACTTACATGTGTTCAATTTCAAGTTCTTACACACATTGCGTGCATGCGTGCATTGCTTTACTTACATGTGTTCAATTTCAAGTTCTTACACACATTGCGTGCATGCGTGCATTGCTTTACTTACATGTGTTCAATTTCAAGTTCTTACACACATTGCGTGCATGCGTGCATTGCTTTACTTACATGTGTTCAATTTCAAGTTCTTACACACATTGCGTGCATGCGTGCATTGCTTTACTTACATGTGTTCAATTTCAAGTTCCTTTTTATACACATTGCTTGCGTAGACCGCATACTTTACTTACATGTGTTCAAATTTCTTCATACACATTGTGCACGTTGTCACGTGTTCTTTACTTACATGTGTTTGTGCCTTCACAGCATTGTTATGCGCCCCACTCGACTTGCGTTGTCACGCACTTTCGATTGCATTATTAGGCATGTTGCTAACAATATTGTACCTGTTAAGTTTGCTTTCTTTGCAGGCACGATATTGTATGTGCGGTTCATTTGAGGCTAGTGCAACTAGATGAACCGGACAGGTACTGTATTCTCCGAGTGAGACGTATCAAGAATTGCATAATTCTCTTACATCCTTTCTGCATTGTAGGGTAGTTTGGTGTATGCTAGCTTAAAACTGTCGCATGTTATGCTCCGTTACAACTTTTCTTTGCATGATCATAAGTTATGCTTGGTTTCTTGCATTTTCAGTTGCATTTTGCCCCTGTCTTCGGGCGCATATCTTTGTTTATCTTGCATGACTGTCTAAGTCTTCGGCCTTATCAAAAATGGGTCGTATCTGGGCTTTGACACTCACTCCCGTCATTGTTATGACTTTCGAGTTCTGTCAAAGAGGGGCAACTATAGACACCCCAGTTTGACCGTCTTCAAGACTTGGACGTCACCGTTGGAACACATGGTGATCATCCATGTTTGTGTTCGTTTTGAGCTTCCGGAGGTCTCGGCTGCGTGCCTTGCCTCAGGATCTCTCAACTGGTTTGTTCTGTGCTTGGTTTTACACCAAGGACTTGTGTGTTTTTGTACCTGAGGGTAGGGGGAGGCTTGTTAGCTACCCCTGAAACCCACCGGCCATGGCTTGAGGCCACCGGTCGTGTTTTGAGGTTACCGGCCATCGGTGAGATGTACCATTGGCCAGTCGGCATTTAGTGTGGTCGACCGACCATCGTTTTGGCTGATGGCCTCTTTTGCTGGCCGAGATCAGCTTTTTGCCTTTTACAGGCATAATGCATGCCAGCTGTGCCAGCTGGGGTGCACCAACCCTCTCTCCCGTGTATAAGTGTGGCTGTTTTGAGCCTTTGACCCCTTTTTTTGCACCCTTTGCTCAAGGCTTCTTGAGGAAGCCTTGACCCTTTGTCATGGCTTCCTCAGGAAGCTTGCCCCCCCAGCTTAGCTTCCTTGATAAGCCTTGACCCCCTTGCCCCCTTTGACCCTTTCTTTTAGCTTGTCTTATAAGCTTAGAGCCTTTGCATTGTCTATATAAGGCTCTCTTCTCCTCCATTGTTAGAGGTTGAACAACTCCAGACCTAAATACATACATATATTTGATATATCATCCTCTCTCTCTATATCTCCCTCCCTCTCTTCCTTTGTGTGTGTTTTGAGGGCCTGAAGGTGTGTTTGGTTCATAGTATTGCACTAACACACACACCATTACACCATACTTCGAATTTGAGAGGCTTTGAGGGTTTGTTCTTGAGGTTTTGGACTGGTTTTGATCAAAAGAAGAAGGCTGCACTTGCTGTTCATCAAGGGTTCTTCAAGGGTAACTCTTTTACTTTAGATTCTCCAATATTGCACTAGACTTTTGCCTATCTTGCTCATTGTTTTAGACTTTGTGTATAACTGAAAAAAATTCTTGTATTTTCATGCTTAAGATACTTCATTAAGGTTGTTTTGGTGT